GGGAGGCAGGGGGGGGGGGGGACCCAATGGACACACAGGGGGACCTGGGAGGGCTGTGGGGGGCCCTGCAGGGATGCTGTGGGGCTGGGTTACCCCATGGGGACACAGGGACCTGGGAAGACTGCAGGACAAGGGAGGGGTCCTGCAGGGATGCTGTGGGGCTGGGGGACCCCTTGGGGACACAGAGGGACCTGGGAGGGCTGCGGGACAAGGGGGGGTCCTACAAGGATGCTGTGGGGCTGGGGGACCCCACGGGCGGACCTGTGTGGCTGTGGGCCATGGGGACGGGGGGGCTGGGCTCCCTCATGGCCCCTTCCCCACCGTTCACCCCTGTCCGTTCCCCTCCAGCTGGATCCACCCCCCTGTGCCCCACTGGAGGGGCAGCTGTGGGGCAGCCCCACGTTCTTCTCCCCCTTTCCCTTGCAGAGGGTCCCCCCGGGGGGGTCCTGACTGCAGGGATGGGGGGGGGAGCAGCCTTCCTCCACCCCCGCTGGCTCTGCATCAGAGCTCTGGCTGGGTGGGGGGCTGCAGCACCCCCTTTTTTGGTCCGGGGACGGGCGGCTCTACCCGGCCCGGCTGCGGGCGCTGGATCCCGGGACCGGCACCTGCCTGGTGCGGTTTGACGGCTACGGTGACACCGAGGAGCGGGCGCTGGCCGACCTCCTGCCCCCCCACCCCGCCGAGGGGCAGCCCCAAGATCTTCTACCCCTTTACCTTGCAGAGGGTCCCCCCGGGGGGGTCCTGACTGCAGGGATGGGGGGGGGAGCAGCCTTCCTCCACCCCCGCTGGCTCTGCATCAGAGCTCTGGCTGGGTGGGGGGCTGCAGCACCCCCTTTTTCCCCCCTTTTTCTGTCCCCCCCCCTCACTTTGTCCCCTCCTTTGGAATAAAGCTGTTTGTGAGAGCTGTGTGCCAGCCTGTCTGTGCCCCCCCAGCCTGTCTGTGCCCCCCCCCAGAGGGACCCTGGGCGATGCCAGCGGATGAGCCGCAGCCGTGTTTGCTCAGGGAATTGGCAGAGAGGCCTCTGCCTCCCTGGGGGGGTGCTCAGCCCCGAGGGGGGGGGACACCAGTGTCGGTGGGGGGGGGTATGTGTACTCCGTGCCTGCCGCCTCTCGGGCTGCTCCGACTGGACGTGGCGCTGACGTACGTCCCGGGGCACGCGTGTCCCGGGGGATGCAGCTCCTGGGGA